TTGTCTTTAGATTTTATATCACATTAGTTTTCCATTAGTCATGAATATGATACCCATTAGCACAAATTGATTCTCATGAAATATGACATGACCCAGATCATGACCCATGATATACACAAAATGACTTCGAGCAATATCTTTCTGGCAGATAATATTTCTCTGGGTCAAATAACTCGATTCTGGCAGGCTATGAGAAGAATATGAAAAATGTATTAGTCAGGCATTTTCAAAGAGGGTTTGAGTTGGTCCTGAAAAAAATCAGATCTTAACGCCAAAAACTGCAAAAGAACAAAATTGTGGAGGAGGGCAACGTGTAGCACCTATGAGATGCGGTCTGATCAAGAAAATATACCGTAGATACAATTAAAAAAGAAACTTTGATGCCTCTCGTTTCAGCCTGAAGCAACTTTAACGGGAAGTCCTCTGCAGGCTTCCACACTTCTGTAGTTATTAACTCTCTATAGGTAATATCTGGTCAAAGAAAAGAGGACTGCTTTTTTCAGAGGATTGCTAGGTGAGTAGGTGATGGAACAAATCAACCATGTAATGAAGATAAAGTGGAAATAATGTTGACTTTTGGTTCCATGTGGCTTTTCCAGAAATGAAAAATGGCTTTAATATCCTTTACCATCGTGGCTGATCTCTGGGATTTGATTTGAATATACAGATCACCCTGATAAACTGCAAAAACTAAAAGTGCAACCTGCATTGCATTTCTATATTTGAGTCACTTGTGATATGCAAAAGAACAGACACATGGATTTGTATCATAATTGTATAATTCACATCAATACGTTTCTTAATGTGATTCCTTTTCACTTTTAATAACTCTCTAAACTGTAAAAAAGTCCCCAACTCTGGTTTGAGAAATTAGACGGCAGGCAAAATTAAAATGAACATCCTGCCATATCTAGCTAAATGAAATAATTTGAATTAGATTGTGAAACATGAGCTTTAATCACAACCGCAACACGAGTGTTTGAAACAAAAATGAGAAAAGTTTCATTAAGCACTTCTTCAGCATGAACACCTTTCTCTGCTGAATGAAATTGTGCTTCAATACCAGAAAGAGCAAGGTAAAAATCTGGAAGTTGTTCAACTCAACTGTTTGAAAGCAAATGCGTCTCTAAAGCTTAAACATCAGCGACTGTAATATATTTTTTTTAAATGTATTTCTTTGAGTCAATTTCACTCCCATGTTTTCTCAAAAACAAAATAATTTGTTGCGCACATCATTTCTTCTTCCCCTTTTCAAAAGACACCACAGAAATAATCACTTTCGGAAGAAACATTAAACATTAAAAAATAGACTATTGTTGACGTGCCAAACACAAAAGATAAAAATACAAATCACATGATTTCAGCAATTGTAACTTTTAGCACAGAATCACGAGAACCCACATTAAGCCTGACCTGTCATGCTGATTCTGGTGTAACCTTTAAGGTTTGGTACGTCCTGTTGACTGGATAACTCAACCTGCATTACGTCACTGGAGGTCGTGTTGTACTTTCTGAAGGCTGGAAGTTGTTTTTTTAATGTTATCACATTTTTTTAATGCAGTTTCAAACAGGATGATTTTTTTCAGGCCTAATAATATACACTATATTAACACAAAATAATGGAAAGCAAATTAAAACTAACTGCAAGGAAAATATAGAGAAAATGTTCACCACTTCAATTTTAGGAGCATCAAGCTTGACACTAAACTGAGACTTTTGTAAGTTTGTTGCATATTTAGTGAACTGAAAATCTTCCTGCTATGTGAGTCTAAAACATACAGATTTTAATGAACATTCTCTAAAGCATTTATTATAGCATGTCCATCAATACAATTGTATAATCTATCAAGCACAGAACTTAGAGATAAGTGTGTTTACATCCTAATATTATTTCTTTTTTGCGTTGTTTTCTGACCAGGATTAACTTTTATTGCTCTACAATCAAGGGGAATAACCTGTACTTTATCACAATTGCAACTTTGTAAGTCGTTATTTGGGTTTGTGTGAGAGACGAGGCTTGGTTGAAAGCTAGCGTTTTTGTAACTTGGTGTTCAGTGCTCATTTTTAGCCCTCCAAGGTCAAAGAAATATCACGTGCTGATTCTGTTTGGAGATGAGTTTTCTGTTTAAATTAGCCCAGCAGCTCTCAGCAGCTTCCTTTTGTCTGCTGCATGCCTTACTCAAATCAAGCATCATTTCTGCAGAACACATCGGAGACAAATTATCTTATCCACCTTTCATCTTTCAAATTGTTTTTTTTGTTGTTGTTTTTTTTTTCATCTGCATCACATTTTACTTGATATTAAAGCAGGGCTGCATCTTTGTGCAGCACTAATTAAAGGACAATAAAGCCTTAGTAGTAATTAGTTTCTCTTGTTTGGTTGCTAGCCCATCAATTGTGCTTCAATAATACTGATCATTAGCATGCGCCTGGGCAGCGAGGGATGCTGGGAAAGAAGCACTGCACACACAGCACTCCACATTCCATTCCCATGAAGCCATGGCACCGAGCCATGAGGTTAACCCTGTGTTTGCTGGGACGCCAGGAAGAGTGGCAGGATGTGCTCACCCTATGGTATGATCTCACCCCAATCTAACAGATTCGTCCAGTCGAGCTGCTGTCAGGTACTCCCGTCATGTTTCACGTGAGAACTATTACATTCTTCTTAGAGTTACAGCCCCTGATAATCGAGAACAACTTAAACACTGTTTGTTACACTTTTAAGTTAATGGCAGGGGAGGCAGAAGCGTGATTTCCTTCTCTGGATTCATTGCAAAAATGATTGCAATCGGAGCTCTTTAAACAAAACGACATCAGCAGACTGTTGAGCATTATTTTGAGGGCTGGCTGTAAGGATGGGCTGTAAACTGTGGCACAGTAATAACGCTATGCAGCAGAAAATGTGCTCTGTTCTGTACTTTGCCTTGACATGATTGAAAGACAATGGTCCCATGGATAGGCCATTTCGACATCAAATGTGCACGCACATCACAGGGCAAGGGTGTGCTATCCATCACATTCGGAGAGCTGTCAGAGGTATGGCTCGCACAAGCCAGGTTTCTCCCACCCCACCCCTCCAAGCATTTGCAGCTGCGTGGCAATACAAGATTAAACCTTCTTGTATATATTCCACCCTGAACATGCAATTTTCTGTACACCTTCCAAAATGCCTTGCACCGTCGTGTACGAGTTTTGCAGGTTTTCGCGGAGCAGGAGGCAGCCGTGGGAGCCAACGGGCAAACCTAAAGATTTGTCGTCCCCCATCTCCAAACCGTCTCATACACACTTTTTTTTTTTTAATTCCTATCAAATATTTAGCAAAATTTCTTCTTTTACAATATTTATTGACATAATAATTAGCTGTGCTATTGGCTTTTTGTTGAAGTAATAATAAAAGTAATTTTGATAATGATGATAACAGTGATTGTACCAATGATACTAATATTAATATAATTTATACAGTGGAAAGAGAAACAATGAAGTGAAAAATGGTAGTAAAAAAGAAAGCAAAAAAGATAAAACCATCTTGTGCGGTAAAACTTGCCAACTGAGTAAGTTTTAGGGCTCAAAAAGGGATCATGCATTGTGGTCTAAAAGTAATGAATTTCAGTTTTATGGACACTAAGTTTCATGGGTGCTAAAAGAAGCATGGGTTAGCAAAGCAAATTAGCTGATTTTCAGTATAGGGAAAACATGAACATGAACAGAGTATTCGATTGTGTGAAATAATTCTAAAGAGCCGCCTGGTCTTGGCTCAGGTCCGGCCTGTCGTCCCCTCTGTACCTTTGGGTGATTTTTTATCCCAGGCTGGTGTGTTTTTTGTTTTACGAACTTGGAGTGGAGAGGTGGTCTCCTCCTTCTGAATTTTATTTCACGGACAACTTCTGCCTTCACATCTAGGCACATTTACATAATAACACATACACACTCTTATACATGGGAGTAATCATGCAGACAGAATGCAGCAGCCAAGAAATCAAAAGTGGTGTTTTTAACTTTTATAACTTCAGCTGAGCAGAGACATTAAGTTCTTTCTGTGTTACAGTCCTTATATATTAGTAATTTTATCTCTGTTTTATAGTATTGTGGCATTTCTTTTTCTTATGCATAAGGGTGCCGTCTTTTTCTCACTGCAGCCTGTTGTCCCAGTCATTTCAGAAAGTATAATGCACAGGCCGAAAATGATCCTAAAACCATCACCTGAGTTCACTCATCAATATTTAACTTTTACTGTTTCAACGTGATCCATACATTTTGCTCAAGAAAGTTGAAAATGAATCAGTGACCTCCGTCAATTTCCAGTTTTCTGAAATATTCCGTAAAGGAATTTCCCATTCTTGCCATTTTTAGAGTAAATCTGTTACCCATACTTCACAGCAAATCACTGTTTACTTCACAAAAACATAAATAAAATAAAATAAAATAAAAATCAGCCTTTTGTTGTTTTTTTTCAAAACTTTAAGGGCACACTCCTGTTGGGTTTGGACCTGATTAGACAACAACATTTTGATCTCTAATCCAAATGTTTGCCTGTCACGAACCGGCTCAGCCACATAAAACATTCATAATAAGATTAGCAATGAAAAAGTTAGAATAGTTATGTCATTTTGCCTTCCATGAACATTAAAGCATTACAGGACCTACTGATTGATGTATTGATTAAAAGTTGTTGGTCTGCACAGTAAAGCCGAACAGGGGGGGAAACAAAACAAACAAACATTAAAACACGGTCGGACTAAAAAGAGAGACTTTGTGCAGCCTCCTCCCATCCGCCTTGGCACAATAACCCAAATGGAAGCCTTTATGAAGCCCTGATGGAAGCAGAGTGCGCTTCATAATGCACAGCCGTGCACACCACTACATTTCCAGCTAATCAGAGGCGCGCAGTTGCAGAAAGGAGAGCGGTTGCCAAGGCAGCCACCAATCTCCCCTCCCCCCCCCCCTCTCAGCTCCCTCCGCTCCTCTTTCCCGTTTATTATCGGCAGAGGTCGCATGGCAGAGGGAAGTCCAACCACTTCTGTACTGGAACCAATGCAAGAATATGCAGCTCCATAACAAAGCCCGTATGGAATCCTGAGAGCAGCGGAGGAAGCGCGCGTCCGTGGGGGCTGTTTTAATTGTTTTCTTTAAAAAGAAAGAAAGAACAAAAAAAACGTGAAAAAAAAAGAACCCACAAAACAGGATCTAAGTTGGAGGTTTGCATTGTTTGGCCAACACGTGCGTACCACCAATGCATTTGCACTCTCCGTGTAGAGCGAGTGAGTGAGTCTGCTTCGCATCCTGGTGCCGGGCTCTGAAGGAAGGACTGCGCATCAGCGGAGTTGGTGCCGAAGTACGAATTGCGAAGAGAAGAGAAGAGAAGAGAAGAGTGCACCGAGTAAAACTCCTGCACTTGTTTGGGGTTTTCTTTCATTTTTATTTTTATTTATTTATTTATTTTTTTATTTTCAGCGTGAGTGTGTGTAATCACTCCTGCTCTCTCGTGCTTCTGGGCGGTGTGTGTTTGACAAGACAACAGTGAGTGAAACACGCCGAAAGTGATTTCATGCCTTCAGTCTCGCTCAGCCTGAGATGGACGTGAGATTTTATCCTGCGCCCCCGGCAAATGTGGGTTCATGCTCCCTGCCGACTGATCCAAGTTGCCTGAGCTCGCTGGACTATTACCACTCGAACAAGGTAAAACGAACCTCCGTGCTCTGCAATCCTGTGTCACTTGTCTGTTTAGGAGAGGAATCATACATCCTGCAGCAGTCGCGCACTGTAAACGGATGCTTTTGTACGCGCTTTTGCCAAAAGGCAAACACAAACAAATAAAAATCCGTCAGGTGTGTGCAAGTAAAAGTGCACTAGATACGCTTTTACTGAGACTGAACTAAGTGGTATTTTTGTTGTTGTTGTTGTTAAATAACACTTAATTGATTTAAATATATATATATTTTTTGACAGTCTGCTGTTCAACTTTTCTTCTCCTCTACATACCTTTCATGATAATAATGTCCCTGTGGACGTTGCGCAGTTGTGTTTTGCATAAAGCTGGCATGACATCTCCATAGGCAGAACAGAGAGAAATTATATGCATTCCATAAAGCCCGCTGCTCACTGCTGTCCGGTTCAGTATTACGCACTCCTCTCTGTAATTTCTTGGAGGCTTTCCACATGGAGTTAGGCGATTAAATGGATGTGTGCCTTTAATACACAGTTAATTACTTTGCAGCGAGCCAAGCGCTGTCTGGTTGTTTTCTTTCGCTCAGTTTTGACAACCTGCGGGGTTTTGTTTTCTTGACCTGCGCAGATCCGCCGTTCGCAGCGCCGCTGCCCCTTACAGCTTGATTCGTTAACATGGATACAGTAATTAATTATGTCTAAAAAAAAAAAAAAAAAAAAAAAAAAAAAAAACAAAAAGACAAAACTGTCTTGTCAGGCTGCAAATAGAATAGGTGGATTTTAACGAGCAAAAGCGTCCCCCACAGCATGATGGTGCCACCACCTTGTTTTGAGCTTTTATGTGTTTTATTTTAACACATAAAAGTGATTTTATGTGTTGAAATAGTTGAAAAGCATGTATAATTTTTCTTCCACTTCACAATACTTAACAGTATTGCTATCGGGATGACAATGATACACGTTGACAACACAGTACCAGGTGCAAAGCAACACAAACAAGCTCACAAACTCCAAATATTAATGTGAACAGGAATTTTTCAGCTCTTGAATTCGCTTCAAGGCTGTCTGCTTGTTTGAATTAGGAATCGCTGTTGCCACTTACCACGACTGGAAGGATAAATCCTCGGCCCCTACAGATGCTGACCTGCTGTCTGAAGTTGGTTCGAGATTAAAGAATGGTTCAGAGTTCTCTCTCCTACAGATTAAAGATAGTTTTTGAGTTTAAGAAGGAGGGAATGATGCGAAACTCAGTCGGGGATGTTTGCCTTTCGCTGTGTGGGCACTGGAAAATCTTTCTAACTGAATGGAACAATCCTGTAGTCAAAGTCTCCAGGTTTCGGGTCATGAAAAGTTGTGTAACAGTGAACTTGACAGTTTTGATTTGAATGCCTGTGAAATGAGTACCTTGTAAAACTTTTATCGATAAGGGAAGTTTTCACCTGCGACGCATCAGTGGGATTTATTTTTCTTTCTTTTTTTAAACTGTGTCCCCCCACCCCCCGAGCTCAGGCTATCTTTTTTTGTAGGTCAAATGAATTAGGATCATCCTCCATGCGGATAATCCAGAGAATACGCTGCTATCTATGCGGAGCGCATGAATCCTGGAAACAAAGCCACGAGATATTAGATATAAAGCACTTATGTGAGAACGAGAGAGAGTGAGAGAAAGTGACTCTAACCACTGGTGCTGGCAATGAAGTGTGGCTTCCCTTAGAAATTACAAGTGTTCATTTAAATAATTAAAACTGCTCTACTCTCTTTACTCTGGGTTCTCTTGACAAAAGGAGCAGAAATTTTCTATCGTCACATGTGTAACACTAACTACCCCTCACTAGCGATACAAATGAGACCGGTGGGGGATCGTTTGGTGTCCTGTTAACACAACGCACAAGGTCAAGTTCCTCTCTGAGAAAACCCGTCAAGCTGACTGTGGCGTGAAACAGACATACTGTAACGAACGAATCAGACGTGCCTCCCGTGAATTATCTCCGACAGCCTTGGTTTGCAAGTTAATAAATTCTGCCCACTGAAGCTGCAGTGAGGCCAGAGGCTAATCACTAACATGGATGTGTTTCTTTAATGCTTGACTTTTCAGAATCGTGTGGAATTTTTTCTTTTTTTTTCCTTTTTCTGGTTACATCTAAGTTTGTCGATAATATTGTTAGCTTGTTGTCCTGCAGGTACAGCATTATTACAAAGAATACAAAATGGTTTAAATCTTTGGAGTAAAATCTAAGGTTCCCAACTGGAGCCATATTGGCAGAAAAACAATAGTAGCAATGTTTTCACTTTAGAGTGTATGTTTTTATATAAGAGCAAAGGAAATGATAAACATTTCTACTATTCTTGCATTGCATCCACAAATTTTAATGTATTATATTGTGTTGTACATGATACACTATCTGGAGGTAGAGCATAATTGGACAATAAATTATGGTTTTATTTGAAAAAGTAAATCAAAATCTGAATTGTGCGGAATTCATCTAAGTTCAGCCCACTCTGCTATGATACCCCCAAATAAAATCAACCAACTGTCTTCACAAGTTTCTCAATTTGGCAAACTCTGAACTTACCGATCCTCCAGTGAGACATGCTGATGGCAGCATCATGCTGTGGGGATGTTTCTCTTGAACAGATACAGACACTGGTGTTGTTAAAAGGGCCTGTGGCTTGTTGAAGTTTGTGTTGTATTTCAAAGCTCCACTTTTAAATATTCAGCAGTTTAGTATTTGAACAGGTAAATCACTGTGATTTCTCTATTCAGCAGCTCAGTTATTAAAATCCCCATTAAAATTGTGTCCTGTATTCTGAGCATAGCTGAAAGGTGACCACCAGTGGCAGATGCATGGCAGGTTGAGGACATCGGATTTAAATGGAAAGTGTTTTATTAAGAAGGAAAAAACCAACAGAAACTAGCTGGAAGTGGGTAAAAACGTTTCTCTGGTCTACAGTTTTATGTCCCGCTTGTCTACGACTGAGCCATTCGTAATTCTGTGGGTTTTAGATTGTGTAACAAGTTTTTGTGACGTCCATGCAGCACATGCTGTTGTCGTGCCTTCAATCGTTGGTCTGCCCGTTTGGACCTTTTGATTCTACCTGTTCTCACTGTCCAGTTTAAATTAGCAACTATTACAGTGTACCAATATTTACTCTGATTATTTGCAGCTGCATAGATCATTTCCTTTAGCTTCTCTGCCTTGTCCATGATCGACACACACACACACATACGCACACACACACACACACACACACACACACACAAAAACACCTCACAGGAAGGAAATGTGAACTTTGTCCTGTCTTTGATGTCAGATGTTTATAGAGATAAATCATTTTACTTGTTCACACTTTGCTAAAAGATTCTTCTATGCCGAGCATTTGGAAAAGGTAAGAATGTCCCTCCCAAAAAAGAGATGCTAGACACGAGCAGTGAAAGTACATGAAGTGCAGATTGAAACGATGCATGGAGATTTATAAATAACCGTGAAGATGTCTACTTCAGTAGTTTCAAAACTCCGTATTTTGCTGTGAGGCTGAATGGTTGTCTTGCTGTTGTGCTTCGCCACATCTGAGAAGAAGAAGAAGCTGTAGAAAACTATGCCGTCACGGGAGCGTTTTGCTCCGAGACTGACGCACAACCTGCAGTACCAAATTTGAACACTTTCAGGCGCATTTACATTCTCGGTGTGTGGCAAAACGTCTCGCTCACGAGACAAGATCAGACCCATTAGTGGGTTGATGAGAACAAAATTACATTTTATTAACATTATTTTTAAAAGTAAGAATACTTGTAATGTTGTATACTTGTACAACATTTTCAGGTTTAGTTCCAACTTCTTTAAATTTAGGGATTTTGAACTGGGCTCTTTCAAAGAATTGGTTCATTTTAATATTTAGTTATTAAACAGACAGCCCCGGGCTGCTAATTTAATCCGGCTCTATAGTCATTGCTAAATATGATAAAGTAACTAGTTTCTTCATTAGAACGTGTACATTCATGATGCAGCACTTCCAGCTCATCATTTTGTCTTTTTGAGTCGTCAGTCAAAACATAGCATGTCCGTCTGTCCGGCTGTGTGAACAACCAAGATGAAATATAATATTTGCATATCAAATAAGCAATTCACATACAATGTGCCGTGCTCTTCCCCTTGTGCCTGTTCTCTTCCTTACTCAATGGAGTCGCAAAAAAGGAGCCGCAAAAAAGTCATTAAAAAGTCGCAACTGTGGCTCAGTTTGCATTGTTTGTTTTAAGAGACTATCCTCAATTCAGTTTCAGTTCAGTTTATTCATTTCACGCGACACATGTCATCTGAAGGCACTTTACTAAAAAGTAATTTCTGTAATTGTTATGGAACTGAGTGTTAACAACCAGCGTGATTGATTTTCTGTCTTCATTAGCCGAGTCCGTCATTTAACCGGAGAACAACTCAAGAACTACTTTCCTCTTATTTCAAAGTAAGGGCCTCAAACAGAAATGCATTTAGGGGAAGATGATATTATAATATTAAGGTTTAGAATATAGAATTGCAGCTTAAGATATTGATGATCTGCCAAAGCAGAGAGATTGTGGATATTCGTTTCATTTTCCTCCTCCGTCTTCTACTTTATTAATTAACTTTTAGGTACTAGTAATCACTGATTTGTGCCTTTGACAACTACTGTGGGAAAATGTTGGCTTAACATTTAATTAGAATTACTGCGTCAAATAAAGTTGTGCAATTGTCGCATGTTTGTTGGTCTTCAAATGCAACAATGAAGATGCTAATCCTGCTTTCTTCTAGAAGGCGAACTGCTAAAGAAATGAACTTGACTGTGCTTTGATTTTCAAGTAATTGTTAACTTGTTGGACTAAAGGCATCGTATCTGAGGGTCCCTTTAGCCAAAATAATGCAAACATGGAGCAGTCAGACAAGTCATTTTTTCATAGTGTTAAAAATGTCAATTTGTTTGCATTCGTTAAAGAGACTCCAACACAGCTGCGTGACACAGATGGACAGCAAGTTAAATTT